TCCCAAGCCTGGCCTGACCTTCCAGGTGCGAGATCACCTCCCGGGAGTACTGTGACTTCATGAGGGGCTACTTCCACGAGGAGGCCACGCTCTGCTCTCAGGTAGGCCTCCAGGGTGTGTCCCTCCCGCTCTCCCGCAGCTGCGGCGGGCGCTGACAGGCCACTCTGCACAGGTGCACTGCATGGATGACGTGTGCGGGCTCCTGCCCTTCCTTAACCCCGAGGTGCCCGACCAGTTCTACCGCCTGTGGCTGTCCCTCTTCCTGCACGCTGGGCAAGTGACACCTTGTGGGCCGAGCAGGGATGGGTGGAGTGGACGGTTTCAGGGACCCCAAGAGTGGCTAGCCGGGGGTGGTGGAGGGGCGGCCTTCCCTGCTGAGTGCGCACTCCCCCAACAGAATCCTGCACTGCCTGGTGTCCGTCTGCTTCCAGATGACTGTCCTGCGGGACCTGGAGAAACTGGCAGGCTGGCACCGCATAGCCATCATCTACCTGCTGAGTGGCGTCACCGGTAACCTGGCCAGTGCCATCTTCCTGCCGTACCGGGCAGAGGTAAAGCTGCCCCCAGGGTGGGGAGCCCCGTATGCACCTGCTGCCCAGCCTGGGAGCCTCTCCATTGGGCTCCTCAGTCCTGATGTCTCTGGGCCACAAGAACTGGGACGGGGACAAGGTTCTGGGTCTGAAGGGGCCTGCTCAGCCCCACCAGCTCACAGACACCCACTGCCCCCAGGTGGGCCCAGCTGGCTCGCAGTTCGGCATCCTGGCCTGCCTCTTCGTGGAGCTCTTCCAGAGCTGGCAGATCCTGGCCCGGCCCTGGCGCGCCTTCTTCAAGCTGTTGGCCGTGGTGCTCTTCCTCTTCGCCTTCGGGCTGCTGCCCTGGATCGACAACTTTGCACACATCTCCGGCTTCGTCAGTGGCCTCTTCCTCTCCTTTGCCTTCCTGCCCTACATCAGCTTTGGCAGGTTTGACCTGTACCGCAAGCGCTGCCAGATCATCGTCTTCCAGCTGGTTTTCCTGGGCCTCCTGGCTGGCCTGGTGGTCCTCTTCTATTTCTACCCCGTCCGCTGCGAGTGGTGTGAGTTCCTCACCTGCATCCCCTTCACTGACAAGTTCTGTGAGAAGTACGAGCTGGACGCTCAGCTCCACTGAGCTGGCTGGGGCACTGGGGCCACGTGCTCCAGCAGGCTGGAGCCTCACAAGTCGTGGGCCTCCGCCTGCGCATCGTGGGGGCCTGTTCCTGGACACAGATCTCTGTGCCTTGGTCACTGCTGTTGAACCTCGCACACTTCTGGGCATTTATTACACTACTTCCCCTGGTTACCTGCTAACTAGTCTCTTGACGACCACCCCATGTGGCCAATAAATGGACCGGGAGCGTTTTAGCTGCCACTAACGTGACCAGAGCTGCCTCCTCCTTTCTAGTTTCCGGCTGGGGGTTATGGAGGGAGATCCCACTCACAATTCCCCAGAACAGGGCACTAAGTGTCAAATACACCTCCCCATAAAGTCCCTCAGCCAGGGGAACCCCCCTTGTGCCGCTTCCTCAGAGTAACTGGCAGGCGACAATGGGACAGGGCCCTGTGGATGCACTGTCACATTTCCCCACACACCGAGAAGTGCCCCCACCCCAACCCTCCCTGCCCGGCCAGCAGCTCCCACTGCAGTCCCAGGCTGCCTCCCTTTCCAGGAGCCAGTGACAGCCCTGCTGCAGGTGAGCCCTGCACGCTGAGGCCGGGGGGGCCCTCCACAGCTGTGCTCTTGGCTGCGGGCCTGTTTCCCCATAGGCAGCGTCAGAAAGCCCCGACTCTGCTACTTCCTCTTGCTGTCCCAATGCAGGAGCAGGGTCGTGTGGTGTGGGGTGTGGCATCTGAGAGGTCGAGCCTCGCCACCACCGTTCTCCGCCCTGGCTCCCCTCTGTGATGGGGCAGTGCCAGTTCCTCCTGCCCCGGGTACTGTGGCTTTTGGACTTTTTAAACTAAGAAACAAACAGATTTATTCTGTACACAGGGCCAGGCCCACAGCCCTGTGGGATTGGCAACATGGTCAGGGTGTTTCGGTCCAGGGAGGTCAAGCTCAGGCCATGAGCACTGGCTCACCCGGTCCTAGTCCCGAGAGCCCAGGGTTCATGCTGACAGTTCCAGTTGGGCAGCTGGGGTGAGGCCACTTCGACACTCTTCTGTGAGAAAGGGACAGTGGCCCCAGACTTCTTCCTGCTGGGGAAGAGCTCAGCCACCAGCACACAGAGTCGTCCTTGTCTGGAGGTTCACTTTTGCCTCAGCTTTTTGATGAAGGACACCTCATCCCGATTCCGGATACCATAACTGAAAGAGAAGAAAAGCTGTCAGCTGTCTGATCCACAGAGGGGACGTTTGTGACCCCTCCCCTGAAGCCTGTGAGGGACCAAGAAAGAAGAGGTGGGAAGCGTGTGGCATCCAGGAAGGCAAGGAGGTGGTAGTGGCTGTCCTTCCACAGACCCACACTGTACCAGCGGGCAGCCTTTCACCTCCATGGACACCCTTATCTCCCTCCTGCTGGCTCTGCAGCCCTGAACTGCCACTGTGAGAAGCCGAGGCCCCTCACCCCTGCTCTCCTTCTCCTTCTGCTGGCAGGGAGGCCCCGGAAGCTCCCTGCAGGAGGGTGTCAGTCCAGCCAGGGACTCTCCTTGTCTCACACACTCCCCAGGGACTGATTTACGATCCCTCCTTCCTGGGGGGCCCAGCCTTCTGGCCGAGCATGTGGAACTACAGGCAACAGTCCAGATGCCTCCCTGCAGCTCAGGATGTGGCCTGAACTCACTCTCGGAGCTTCTTCCTGTCCTCTGTGAGCTTCTCTCCTGCAGAGATCAGATGGTACGTCCTCCACACGTAGGACCTGCAAGATGGGGACTCGGGTAAGCCGTGAGCAGGGTGAGCTGGACAGCTGGGAGGCCAAAGCTGTGTGTGACAAAGCCTCCAGGCGCTCGGCTCTGTGGGGACCAGGGCAGCCACAAGGGGGCACTGCTCTCAAAACGCTGTGTGGGGTGCCTGGCAGCCAAACATTCTGCTAATGAAACAGGGGAGGACTGACAGCACCCAGGTGAGGAGGGGTGGGGCTGCTGACAGCTGCACCATCCACAGCTAGGGAGACCACTTCCAAACACACTGGAAATGCCCCAGGTGTCCCCAAGTGAAGACCCACCCAGCTGCCTGTGCAGTGTGATATGGATGAGGAGCATCTGAGGCAGGACTCCCAGGCCCAGGAGCACCCACCCGCCCAACGGCTCGGGGGGAGCCCATCACTCCAGTTGGTACACTGTAGTAGCGCCAGGTGGTTAAGAGCGCACATCCGGCAGGTGTGCATGTGGAGGCCCACATCAGCCCCCAGGAGGGCTGCAGGGAGCCGCTGCTCCACTCACCAGCTGATATGCTGAATGCCTCCTTCACGCTCCTGCCTGAGCTGCACGTATCTCTGGATGGCCTTCTTCAGATCCAGCACCGTGGCGTTCTGTACGACAACCACGGCTGCAACCGGGGGACACAAACGGGAAAAGATCCACAGTGGGAACACAGCTACAGCCTCAGATGACAGGAGAGGACTCAGAGGTCCGACTAAGGCTGAAATCCGGGCAGGGTGGGCTTGCGGCTGCTCCAACACCCCCCAGCATGGCCCTTGCGTTTCCCACTGAGCAGCCCTGCTAACCTCTTGCCCCTGTGAAGCTCAGACGGCGCTGCCCGGAGGGAGGGGGCGGCACTTACGCATGACTTCTCCGTCCATCTTGCACACTCGGACTGTCATTGCTTGGCCGTACTCCAGTGCTATCTGGGAACTGACCTCTTCCAGAGTAACCTGGAAAAGACCAAGGGTGGATGGGGGAGCCCTGGCTCTCTACCGCCCCGAACAACAACCAAGAAAAACAAGCTGACAGTGTCCAAAAAGTGGGGCCACGCTTTACAAATACAAGAAAGGGACAAGGTTCTTACACGTTTCCCCGCTTGTCACTCCACTCTCATGTTCCATCCACACTTTCCGTTTAATGCCTAAAGTGGACAGAGGCTCGGGAGGACGCAGCATAGACACAGACCAGGGGAACGAACCAACGTGAGGATCCACCCCGGGATCCTCTACCCAGAGGCTGGACAGTCCAGTATGAGAGCCCTGGATCGCCAGGATCCAGGCCAGGGCCTCGGGACAAGGCTGAGGCAGGTGTGCAGAATTTACCGGGGCGCCAAAAAAATGGTAACGATAAACATTTCAGTGCAACTTTCAAGGAAATAGAAGTTAACTTAAAAACCCCATGATGGGCAAAGTGACAAAGACTTAAAGGCAGGACGGTGCCAAACCATATTGAAACTTGAGAAGAGAAACCAGTAATGCTGGTCTGGTTTTCATTTACAATTTTATTACTTTGTTTACCATCGGCTTTCCTACACTACCTTTGAGTTTTAAAAATGTCGTAGTAAAACATCCCGTCAGCTGACCCCACGTATACCGGGTTTTTGGCGCCCCTCTGAATTCTCGCTCGCCCCACCCTGGGCCCGGCCCCGGTTAAGACCCCCGCTGACGCCCAGAGGCACCTTCCTGAGGCACCCGCGCCGCAGCCCCAGCGGCACCTCGGGGGGCTGTCCACGCCCCGCCGCCCGCCCCCCGGCCCGCGCGCACCTGGATCGGGAGGTCGCAGAGCAGCGGGTCCTGCACCACCATGGCAAGACCCTCCTGGAACACGTCCACCGCCTCGGAGTGCGGCAGCGCCTCCTCTTCGTCCTCATCCTCCTCCGGCCCCGCCGCCGCCACCACCTCCTCCTCCAGGGCGCCCCGCCGTCGCCGCACCCGCCCGCACCGCGGGTCAGCGCGACGGAGGGGCGCGCGCGGGGACCGCAACCACAGCCCAGCCCGCAGCGTCCAGGGACCAGGCGGCCTGCCGCAGTGCTCGCTGGGAGCGCGAAATCGGCGCGTCCATTGGCGGGCCGAGGGGCGGGGCGGCCGCCAGGACCAATGAGAGCTCGAGGCGGGCCCGCGTCGGCGGGGCGCGGCGCGGGCGTCTGCTGGGAGCCCGCGGCTGGGCCGCCGCCATGCTGCTCTTCTGCCCGGGTTGCGGGAACGGGCTGATCGTGGAGGAGGGGCAGCGCTGCCACCGCTTCGCCTGCAATACCTGCCCCTACGTGCACAACGTCACCCGCAAGGTGCGCCCGCCGGCGTCCCCTGCGTCCGCCCTGCTCGCCCCGGGGTACCGTTGGGACCTCCCCCGGGCTCCCCGCGCTGTGTCCGCGGCAACGGCCGCAGTGACCTTGTGACCGTGAGTCGGATCAGGGCCGTCCTGTGCTCCGAGACCCGCGGCGGGTGCCCAGCGCGCCGGGGGGAAAGCTGAGGTTCTCCCGGGACCCCCAGCCTGCTCCTCTGATTTCGCGTCCTAATGCGCCCTCTTGACCCCCAGCGCCGCACGGAGGATCCCCCTCGTGCACGGGCACCGCCGTCAGGGCCTTTGCGCGTGTTTTCTGCCCCGTTCACCCTTCCCCGTGTCTTTAGTTAAATGATTACTTAAAATTGCAATCTCTCTCCGCATTTTATCCTCGTTCCCTGTTTTGTTTTTCCCATAGGCGTCATTGCCTTGTAATATAGTTTATATTTATGGGCGTTGTTTATTAATACTGGGACATAAACGGTAGGAAGGCAGGATTTTTCTGTCTCGTTCCCTCATTATGTTTTAGTCTGAACAATAGAATGGGACCTAGAATGTTCAGGACGAATGAAGCACAGTGTATTATTTATGCTTGTTATTTTCACTTGACAGTACACCTTTTTAGAAGTAGAGCACGTTGGTGATACCTCATTCTTAATGTTTGCATACCACTCCATGTTTCAGCTGCGAGGTGGAAGTTTAGCGTTTGAAACTATGGCAAGAGTGAACTCTTATGTAACCCTGAAATTTCAAGGATGTCGGGGAAAACTTGGGCAAGAAGCCAAGTGTGACCTGCTCTGAAAGCTCTCTGCCTGGGGGGGCGGCTGGGCCACCCAGCCAAGTGGTGCTCTTTGGCTTCAGTTGCATTTGTCTCTCTCATCTGGGGTTATCAAGTATCTTAGAGGTGTGGGGGAGGAGGAGGGTCACACCTAAGCCAATGTTTTCTTCCTGCTCTGGTGCTTCATCCAGCCCTGGCAGAGATCTTCTCTGACTGTCTCTTCTCTTGGGATCATCCCAATCGTGGATCCTCTAAATTCCAGTGGAGCGTCCTGCTCTGTGATAGCAGGAACTTTGTTTTCGTTCAGTATCGCTGCAGTCTGTGCTGAAGGAAGGAAGTGTGGGGAGACACTTGAGGTCGATATAGTTTGGTGTCCCAGGTTTGTGCTGTTCACTCACTCAGAGGCTGTTTGTTAGGTAACAAGTCGGAAGTACCCGAAGCTGAAGGAAGTGGATGATGTGCTTGGTGGAGCAGCTGCCTGGGAGAATGTCGACTCTACTGCAGGTGAGAAGGAAAATTTTTCTGTTACTGAGCTTTTTTTAAATATGAGGCTGCTGACTGTGCCACTCCACGTCAGGATCCGTGATATACTTAGATGAAGTGGGCTTCTAAAAATAAAAAGTGTGTTTGTTTTCTTTTTTAATAATTTATTGGTTACACACACAGTCTTGGCACAAGCCTTGAGTCATGCAGGCCTGAGTTAGAGCCTTGGGGTGACCTCGATGGGTGTCCCTTGACTTCTCTGGGGCTAATCTATACTCACAGATTGTAAGAGCATAAAGTGAGTTATACAGTGTTTGGCATATAACGGGTACTCAACAGGTGGTAAGTATGATGATAGCAACAATGACAAGAGTAGTAAAAATCAGAGTCTAAGGGAAAAATTTGGTCTTTTTGTTCTAGCGTAGATTTTTAAAGGGTTAATACCAGGGAACGTTAAACTGCAGTCTCAGTAAAATAAGTGTTTATCTCAAGTCTTGATTCGTTTCTGTTAGAGACAGATGTGACCAAGGAAGGAGGAGGAGAGCCCTAGATACAACTTGTACTGAGAGGAGAAGAGCTAACTCGTGATTAATGCTGTCTTTTTCCCTCATAGAAGAATATCCAAATCTGCTATGTTAAAAATTTAGCTTTGGCAGAATTTGTCATTAAAAGATGAATTATGTACCTAATATTGAAAATGTTGTTTGAGACTGTTTGAAGTTGTTTACCTCAAGAGCAGGGTCAGGTTCTCAAAGTGAAATCACTTTGAAGGTAAAGGTGTGCCTTGGGGCACTCTGAAAAGGTGTGGATGTGTGGAGGGATCTTGATAAGAACAGTCTGAGAAACTCCTGCCAGAATGGATTCCTAAATACAAGGGGAAGCAGATTGGTCATCCATCGGGAGCTTCTCTGAGAAGACAAGAGGGCGTGTGCATTGCCCAGGTGAAGGAGATGCACTTATTAGGGGCATCTGCAGGGCGTGGATACTGTAATGCATATTGCGCCATAAGTCACCTTTCGTGTTACGTTTCTAACCAGTCTTCAACCAGATTTGAGAAGAAAAGTGGGCCCCAGGGAGGGTAGGAGGAGTGTTTTCAAGGTCACAGTTCTCCTCTATTCTCTCAGTGTGAGAGCATAGTGGGAATGATACCACTGTTTGTGGCCTTAAATTTTGGTACAAGGTACCCTGGGCAAGGGATGCCAGATGAGCAAGGGGGCGGGGTCTTTGCCCCCTTTCAAGTAACACCTGCTTCTAATAGATCTGTTGGTCACAAGCATCCTTTTTTTTTTTTTTTAATGTGGGTCAATTGTTTGCTTTTCTCGTTGCCAGAGCCATGTCCCAAATGTGAGCATCCTCGTGCCTATTTCATGCAGCTTCAGACCCGCTCTGCAGACGAGCCAATGACTACCTTCTACAAGTGCTGCAATGCTCAGTGTGGACACCGCTGGAGGGACTAGGGCCAAACTGGTCCAGCTGCATCAGTGTCTGCTTACCCTGTTGCAGGGTGGATTCCCATCCAAGAGTGTGAACTGCGTGTCCTGAGGGTCTTTGCTGGTGTGGAGGAAAGCTACCCCTTTCAGGGTGGCTGGCCAGGATGTCAGGAGATGCAGCCCGTCTGCCAGGCAGGAAATGAGCTCAGTAACGTCCAGGCAGATTCTGTGTGTGGGGAGGCGTGACCCTAACCAAGTGCACTCTGTTTAGGGTCCTGTTCTTTCATCCTTTGTATTTATTTGACAATTGACATTCTCTTACCATCAACTGACACTCTTAATTAAATGTTTACACTGTTTTCACAGCTCATAAAGTAAAACTTATTAATTTAGTTCCTTAGATGTCGCTAAATATTTAACTGTTAATTGCAAACTTGTTTAATCAAAATTTATTCTGAATATTCAATTAAAATGAAAAGTCTTCTCAGTGTTTTAAATGCCTTAAAAAGTAGACATCAAACCCCAAATCAGGATTCCAAAATTGGCTACTCAGGGCTAAACTGGTTACAAAATTGCTAATCACGTGAATTTCAATTTATTTATTATTTCTATTCTTGCTTCCTAGGATTGCAATAAATTTTTTAGATACTGTGTTTTTAAACTTTATACTTTCTGTGTTCATCTTTTCACTCTCAAAAGAAAAGGGACACCTTAGACTAACTGGGGACAGGACCTAGGTTATCAATGGATTGATTTCTTGCTCAAGGCATCAGACTTAATTGCTTTTCCAAAGCTCTCAATAATGAAGTCTCACTTATGAAATCATGGGACTTAAATTTATGCCTTAGACACAGACTTTTACTTTTCGAGACTTGGTATCTGTCTCAGATGGTTAGTCTCTAAGTTTCGTGTGATGTTTTCTTATTGCTGTGATGTGTTGGCTAGGTCCTGAGCCCCTTGTCTCTGATTGGTTCTGTTTCAACACGCTTGGTTCTGGTTTTACAAGTGTGATTTTTATCATATGGGTGTTATCTTTGCATCTACTGCTCGTACCGTTAGTTTTATTTCCTCAGGTGCCAGTTCTGTGTGTGTGTGTGTTGTCGCAGGCAGCTGGGATAGTGGTGACGATCATGCGCTCTGACGTTTGCCTGCTGTTTGTGCCTTAGCTGTGAGACCTCGGTCAGGTTACTGACTCTCTGCCTTCATTTCCTCCCGTGTCAAATGGAGATAATACAGTTATGCGCCGCATAACGATGTTTCGGTCAGCGATGGACCGCGTATAAGATTAGTACCACATAGCCTAGGTGCGTAGCAGGCTGTACCATCTGGGTTTGTGTAAGTGCACACTAAGATGGTCACACAATGACGACATCACCCAACAGCACATTTCTCAGAATGTACCCCTGTTATTAAGCGATGCATGACTAGTCTCTTTTAGGGGTTCACAAACTTTCTATAAAGGGCTGGATAGGGACCGGCCCCGTGGCGTAGCGGTTAAGTGCGCCCGCTCCGCTGTCGGCAGCCCGGGTTTGGATCCCAGGGCGTGCACCGATGCACCGCTTGTCAGGCCATGCTGTGGTGGCGTCCTATATAAAGTAGAGGAAGATGGGCACAGATGTTAGCCCAGGGCCAGTCTTCCTCAGCAAAAAGAGGAGGATTGGTATGGATGTTAGCTTGTTAGCTGAGGGCTGATCTTCCTCACAAAAAAAAAAAAAAAAAAAGGCCAGATAGTAAGTATTTTAGACTTTGTGGGTCAAGAGTCAAAATGTGGGAAAACACAAGAAAACAAACTTCCACGGTTTATTTATAGACAAAATTAAAAATGTAATCATAGTAATTGAGTACAGTATTTTATGCAGGTCTATTGATAGAAGAATGAGTATCATTTTGCTTAATTGGGGTTCAGAGTTAGTGTTCCTTGTCATCAAAATCAGTTGCAAATGTGCGTCTGTTAGAGCTGGTTAAGCGCACGGGAGCAAGTGAAATTCCCTGTTGACGTTACTGATAGATTTGGTAGATTCAGTGCTGATGAGAGATGCAGGTATTTTCTGCAAAGCATTTGCTGATGAATAGTACAGTGAAAAGCCATAGGCTTTCAACACTATGGTTTTACGAGCTTCGTGAAATTTGTCCCACCTAAGGTTTTCACGCTCCACATATATTTTTGCCACTGTCAGTTGTAACACATTAGCACATTCCACTTCAGGGTCTAGTGAATTAGTGTTTTCTCAACTTCGAAGATACTCTTGCCTGCAGTTGGTTGTTCCCCGCAGACCGTGCACAGAGGCCAGTCCTTCAGTCACTTCCCAGCTCAGCGTTGGGGCCTCGACTCTTCAGAGAAACAGCAGTTGAGCAGTGTCAGTAATGTCTGTGGATTCATCAAGAGCCAGGGAAAATCACTTTAAATCATTTGCCTCATTCTTAATTGACTGTTGCCGTTGCTCCCAGCGTCTTAACTTGTAGAACAACTCTTCTTGCCGAAAGGCCAATAGTCTTAAACTTATTTTCTGTGGACATACTTCTTCAGCTGCTGCAATCAAACGTAATTAAGTCACCATCAGTAAGTGGTTTTCCTTGCTTGGGTAACAAATGAACCACTTGGAAATTTAATTTGGTTGCCTTATTTTCGATTTTTGTGAAGAAATTCTGTTGTATATTGAGAATAGTGCCAGTGACGAGTGCTTAGTCTGGTAATGTTGACCAGCTGTAGTGTCATTGCATGATAAACACAATCCTTTGCCATCCAGTTGATGACAAAATAATCCACCCTCCACAGTGCCTTAAAAACACGACATTCAGATTTCACTCTTTTTGTTTTGATGTGATGGGTATGCACTGGTATTAAGCGAAGAAAAAAAAAGTTGCAGTACAACAGCATGGTGGCCCCTGAAATGCTGAGTTGTGACTGCACCACTGGGCTGTAAGCACACTAAAGCACTGTCGCCACTACTCAACTCTGCCGTTAAGCAGTGTGAAAGCAGCTGTAGACGATACGAAATGAAACTACGGACACGGAAATTTGAATTTCATAATATTTTCATGTGTCATGTAATTCTTTAGGCTCTTTCCCAACCATTTAAAAATGTATAAACTATTTTTAGCTCACAGGTTTTTTAACAAAAGGGGTGGGCTGGATTTGGCCCTTGGGCAGTAGGTTGCTAACCCCTGGTCTACCTCATAGGGTCGTGAGGATTTATGTAGCTTAACCTGTATAAAATCCTTACAGCATGTCTGAGTAGTAGTGTTTGTTACCGTCTGGTGCTTTCTTTCATGCTGCTGGTTTTCCACAGGTGTTTGGTGACTCCTGGTTGTGTTCTTTGTGTCTGAGGTTTTCCCTTCATTTATGGGTGTTGTTTTTCTGCATACTCCATTTCTTATGGGAGGGGGTAGGGTGTCAGGGTGTGCCATCAGAGCATTTTTCTGGGTAAAGAGGCACTGGCCTTCTTCCCAAGCCTAAGTGTCCAGTAGAGGAGTCTGAGCAGACTGCCTGGTGTAAGTGCAGGTGTGGGGATTGGGCTGAGCTGCCTGGCTGCTCCATATTGAGGACTCTGACTAATCCTGATGATTGTCCCAGACTCTTCCTGCCCTCCCATCACCCAGGAGGGCCACTGTGCCAGCTTTCAGAGATGTCCACTGCTGTGTGTGTTTAGGATGTGGTTTCCTTTGTCAATCTAATCAAATCTCAGTTGCCTCCCTTCATTCAGGATTCCTTATGGTTAACACTCCATCTTCTTTTCTGCACTGTTATGACATATTCCTTCTATTTAAGATACTGTATTTTTCACTTATATACTTTCCTTTTGGTTCTTTTTTATAGTTTCTGTGTCTCCTCTGAGATTTCCTATTTGTTCATTGTGAACATATTTTCCTTTATATCTTTGAGCATAGTTAGAGTAGCTGCTTTAAAACCTGTGCTGTTTCCAACAGTTTAGTCTTGGGAGTCAGTTGCCATCAATTGTCTTTCCTCTTAAGTATGAGTCACATAGTTCTGTTTCTTCATGTAATAATTTTGGATTTCTTGGAAATTGTGAATGACATATGTTGTAGAGCCTGGATTCTGTTATGTTTCTCTGGAAAGTGTTGTTTTTAAGCAGGCTGTAAACTCTGTGTCTGGTGTGGGCAGGAGCTGAAGGCTCTGTTCAGGTTGTTCCGTCTTAGCTGGGCTGCTGGGAGTTGGCCTGCACATCTGCAGTTCAGGGGTTATCCAGAGGTTTTGGTTTTAGATTAGCAGAATTTGGGGCTCTCTGGGTTTTTTCTTTCCAGGATTTCCTCCCTTTCTAGCCTTTGTGGTCTCTACTTTCAGGGTTTTGGTGTGGGTGGTATGGTCTGCTGTTCTTAGGTTAGTAAATTCTAGCTTCAGCAAGGTGGGAGGGACCCTGACAGACAGAAGGAAGCTCTCTTGATAAGGATACTAGAGAAGGGATGGTTCCAGTGAGTATAAAAGTATATGTTTGTATTAGGTAAGATGGGAGCCAAGCTGATTAAAATTTAAATATTGGAAAGAAATATGGGGGCTGGCCCCATAGCACTGGGTTTGGCATGTTCTGCTTCAGTGGCCCGGGTTTGTTGGTTCAGATTCCAGGTGCAGACCTACACCATTTGTGGCGGTGACCCACATGCAAAATAGAGGCAGACTGGCCATGGCTGTTAGCTCAGGGCTAATCTTCCTCAGCAAAAAAAAGAAAGAAATGTGATTATGTCCCTGGTCATTCCTAAGGTGTTTCCTGGGCTTGAGCCTTTGATTCCATCCCTCATGGGTCCTGTGCTCTTAGACTCCAGAGAGCTGCTGCTCTGGGGTATCCAAACCTTGGCCAAGACTTTTTGATGCACAGAACACACACATGCACACTTACGTAAACAGCACATAGGCACACTGAAATGTGACCTTATTTGGTACCCCGAAGAACATACAGCCAATAAGTAAATGAAAAGATGCTTATCTTCACTAATAACCAAGGAAGTGAAATTAAAACAACATCGAAATATGTTTGCCCATCAGATTGGCAAAGATTAAAAAGACTGATACTCTATCCTGCTGGTGAGGGTTGGAGGCATTCTTACACTTCTGGTGCGAGCAGAAGTTGGTACATTTTTGGAGGGCCACTTGGCAGTATCTATCAATATTTTAAAATGCTGAACTTTAGACCCCACAATTCCACCCCTAGCAATTTTTTGAATAGGAGTACTCGTTCTGGTGATTAGAGATCCATACCCAGAATTGTTCACTAGCTTCATTTAAAATAGCATATTTACACGTGAAATTAATGTTACATGTCAATTATATCTCAATAAAAAAAGTTAAAATAGCATATATAGGCAACAGTCCAAATGTCCATCTGCAAGATGATTAAGCCATGCCATGTACCACCATTAGAGGCAGGAAGTAGATTTTTATGTGCTGACCTAGAAAGATGTTGAAAATAGAGCAACAAGGAGGCTACAGAGCTCGCAGCACAGAATGAGTCCATTTAAAACGTGCATTTGTTTGAGCTTAGAAATTATCTGGAGGTGTCACCCACTAGGCACCTTGGGAAATTCAAAGGTTGGCTTGGAAGCAATTAACTATTTTTCCAAGTTGTTTCTTTTCCTTTTGTCTGTTAAGGAGATGTAACCACCAGCCATCCTGAAACTGACCACGCCTCACCACAAGAGCTACGCCCATGACCTTTGCCTTATTTTTAATGCAAAGATCTCCCCAGGAGGAGCTTGGGCCTCATTATGTGGAAGCATGTTCTCCAACTGAGCCTGTGCAAGCGAATACCTGCCTCTCCCTTTTGAATATTCGTTCCCCAACCAAATAAAAGTTCCTGCCTTCCTTTGTTCAGGGATGTCTTGACTTTGAAAATGATTCCTCATGGCCTCCTATTTGCTGCAAATACACTTCACTGTGTGAGACAGCTTCTGCTGGTGTAGTCTTATTTAACTCACCAGGAGGTGAGCCCACTTGATTCGGTGACAGAGGGACTTGTGCCTAACTTCTTGCAGAGGCTACCTCTGGGGTGAGATAAAGGGGACTCCCATTGTTGATTTCCTTCTGTATTGTTTTCTGTGACTGAGACGACATTACTTGTATGTTTCACACCCTCCCCACCCCCAGTGCTCGCAGATTGCCTTAGCTGGCAGAAGGAGAACCTGCACCTTTGTCCTGGGAAAATCCTAGATGGGGATGAAGCGTGTTACTCTGTGCCTGGTCTGGGTTCTCGCCTCCTGGCTAATTTAATGCATTTCAGTGGTGTCTCTTGGGAGGAATACAGTGGAGGCTCATGCACCAATCACCCAAGTCCACTTTTGGCACACTTCAGTGTCATGGGCAAGGAAAAGACCCACCTCATAATTCCTGGGTTATGATTAGTGGTGCCAGTCGCCTCACAAGCCCGCTTGGGACAGTTGCTCCACTGCTCTCGTGGTTTCAGATGTGGGCGGCCCGTGTCAGCCTGCTGTGGGACACTCACGTCACTGGCTGCTGCAATTATCTCTTGAATCAGGCTGAGGGGCTTTGCTGCAAACGCAGGGACGGTCGGATGACAAGTCACCTCCAGCTCTGCAGGGTCGGGGGCCCCCTCAGACTTGCCATGGGACCCGGCAGATGCGTCTGGGAAGGTGAGTCTGTAATTTGGACTTCCTAACCACTCGAGTTAGCGTGAATTACGGGAGGCGGGGGGTCGGGTGCTGGCCACCCCGGGGCCCCGGGAAGAGCCTGTGGAGGAACCTTGGAAGGGCACGTTTGAGGCGCCACCTCGTTTTCCCTCTGGTGTCCTGGCCTCGGGCATCTCCCGGAGACAGCACACTGCCTGTGCTGCTGTGAGAAGGACAGGCTCATTTCCAGGCCTGCAGGGGTTGTGAGTGCCGCTGGCAGAGGGAAGGGCACTGAGTCTGTCGGGCAGGGTTTCTAATTATGGAAGAGAGTTTGCTTCCTGATGACCAGGCAGACCTCTGTGGGCACGAGTGTGAGGGGGCGTTCTGGGGCCAGATGGTCTCAGCTGTGATGGCCACGAGGGGGGAAGAGGTCCGGTCCCTGGGATCAGTAAAGCCCCCTCAAACCCCCATACTTTGAGGGCCTTTAGGGCGGAAGAGGAGCCGGGAGTTTGGGGATCCCCCTTGGAGCTGTGGGTGGGGCAGCAGATGAAGGTGGGGTTCCAGAGGGGGAGTCAGCTCAGCTAAGGCAGAGGACGGGGAGGAGAGGGTCTGTGCTCAAGTAACATCCTGGAGCCCTCTGCCCGGGTGCCCAAAGCGTTCACAGCGTCTGAGGCAGGGGCAGTGTATGTAGCGAGGTTCAGGAGGTTTCTTACACTGTTAGGGCTGGGTGCAGGGGGCTCAGCGTAAATCGGACAGGCTCTCCCCTGGCGGGGCCTGATGTGGGCAGGCAGCACAGCAGTGAGCTTCGCTGACACGGCTGCAAAGGGGCAGTGAGGGCCACTGGAGATGGTTGCTGCGCAGAGCAGGCCACTTGGCAGATGTGGGAGGAGCAGGGGCATCATTTCCCCCCATTTAACCTCCAGGCCCCCAAAGAAGATTGTGTCAACATCCTTATTCTAGCCCTTGCCCACAGCCTCTACTCGCTCCCTGTTCCTGTCGTGAGCTGGCTGGGGCTGGCTCGGGGGTGTCTGGTCTGGCTGGGGAGACAGACTGGGGTGCTTGGGGAGGGCTTCATGAAGAAAGAGGCTGGGGAAGGAAGCCAGGCAGAGGGCTCAGTGTGAGAGAAGGCCGGGAGGTAGTCTTGGGAAGTGCAGAGCTGTGGAGCAGATCAGCAGAGGACCCGAGTGAGCTCCCTGGGTCCCCTCTGTAGCTCTCAGGTGTCCCGTGGGGGTCCTGCCCTCCCCACCCCTGCTCCTGGAGCCTGCTGAGCGTGGTGCCACCCCACCCCATGCTCTCAAGCTGTCTGCTCCCGGGTTAGCCTGTGGCTGGGCTGGCCCAGTTCTGCACAGATGCAGGTGTCCCTACACTGCTGGGACAGTGGCAGTCCACCCTGGGGCCTGGGTCAGCTCTTAGCTGGGAGGTGGCTGTTGTCCGGAGCTCTCCCCAGATCTCGGTGCTCACTCTGGTCCCGCCCTCACACAACCTGAGTGTCAGCTGTTGTCGGCCGTTCCCCCGGCTCCATCAGTAACCGCTGCAGGATGGGACGGACGCTGCCGCCGGGTAGACCCATGCCCGCCTCCAGTGCTGTGGCTGGTGGTGCCCGGTGATGCTTCACCCTAGGGAAGGGTGGGGTCTTCCTGACTGCTGATCAGGGCTGCAGGGCTGCAGATCCTGACTGCAGGACAGGGCTCTGTCCTGTGGGGACATGCATGGGCTGCTGGGGGCATGGGGTGGGGCTGGAGTGCCGTCTGTGCCTGCTCCTTGAGGGCTGACTTGCTGTGGTCTGTGTGCATGTCTGCTTCTTTTTTGCTTCCTTATCACCCATCAGGTTTGCACAACCAGGCTGGCCCTGCTTCCTGCTCAGGAGCTATCAGTGCACCATCTGGAGCTGCAAATGGGGTGATGGGGCGTCAGCAGCCTCCCCCAGCACTTCCTCACACCCAGCCCCCCGTCTCCAGTGGACCTCTGGCTCCCGCAGGGATCCCAGGGCTCAGGCTGGCCCTCTAGCACGGAGAGCCTTGCTCTCCTGGGGTGCTCTCCTTCACAGGGCCCCCTGGAACAGGGGTGTGACAGGCAGAGTTTAGGAAGTACTGTCTGTTGCATGGACCCCCCACTGTCATCCTCCTGCAGTTTCCTGGGGCGGAACGCTGGGCTAGGTCTTTATTTAAGGAGACCAAAGGGAGAGAGGACGTGTAGAAGTTAGCTGTGTGCCCTGGGCAAGGCACACCCCCTCCTTGGGACTCAGCTCTCTCGTGAACAGGGACCATCTCTACCGCATGCGGCTGTGGCGGGAATTCAGGCGGATGATGCACGTTACACAGTCGGCACGGGTGACACCAGAGTCAGTGAAGCTCCCCTGTGGCTGTTGTTGATGAGAACTGATGCTCTCAATGCTGCCTCCCCTGCAGGGTGGGACCTGGGCCCAGGGATGGGGGCTGGGCTGGCAGAGGACGCTCGTCCCAGGCAGGAGCCTTCTCGGACTCGGACACACAGTGGATCCAGAGTCCAGAACCCCCCAGGAGATCTGAGTTTGAGAGCGCCATCTTAGACGCTGTAGCCACGAGTCTTTGGTCAGGTCAACTGATGTTCCTGAGCTTCGGTTTCCTATCGGCGCAGCTCGGACGGTGGTGCCTAACCGCTGTCACGGGACATGATGAGGGTGTAGGTGGTGACCCACTCAGAGCATTCTGCTGGGGAGCACCCGTCAGGGGAGTACTCCTCACAGGAAATGCCTCGTGGGGAGCACCCCTCCCAGGGAGGGTCTCATGGGGAGTGTCCCACAGTGGGTACTCCTCACACAGAGCCCCTCAGCCCAGTCCTTTGCAGGCTGGACTTGGGAGGGCGAGGCCCTGACGCAAGAGAAAGGTGCCTGGCTCCTGATCTGCACCTGCCTCTGCACCTGGGTCGGCGTGGGCGTCTCTGTCCCAGGGGAAGGAGGAGGTGAGGGCTGGCACTGGTGTCTGTGTGAGGTGGGGGGCGGAGAGCGGGGGCCAGGACTGTCCTCTGTCAAACTCCATGGGCAGGGTTTGGCTGGAAATGTGCTGAGGCCTGTCCTCCAGGGATCAGCCTAGACTTCAGCTCCCCCCATGTACCATGGGTCAGAGCCCGTCGCTTCCTGGGTCTCCCAGCCCTGCCCTTGATAAGTTCTCCTGGGGTCATTCTCTGGGGACTGCCCTTTCAGAGTGTCAGCTCCAGACCTTCCCCTCCCCCAGTCCTACCCCGAAGCAGCCACTGTGGATCCCAATGGTCACTGTTCCCGGGTCTAGGGGCTGGAACTTTCACCTGCCTCACCAACAACGTCCTCAGGATTGACTGCCGCTGGTCCGCCCCAGAGCTGAGCCAGGGCGCCAGCCCCTGGCTGCTCTTCACCAGGTGAGGCTGGAGGGCCGGACCCACCTGGGCAAGGGGCAGGGTGCAGGGGGCAGAGGGCAGGGGGCAGGGGGCAGGGGTGAAAGTAGGGTCCCATGACAGCAGCAGCAGGGGCCAGGCTAGCACAGCTGACCCCGGTGCCGACACATGCCCTTTTCAGCAACCACGCGCCGGGCAGTGTGCACAGGTGTGTCTTCCGGGCCAGCACGTGCACTGTGGTGCTGCCGCCCGAGGAGGTGCTCGTGCCTTCTGACAACTTCAGCATCACTTTCCACCGTCACGTCTCCGGGAAGGAGCAGGTCAGCCTGGTGGACCCACAGTACCTGCCCCGGAGACATGGTGAGGCCAGGGGTGGGGTGCCTTGGCAGGGAACATCCTAGCTGTGTGGGGGTTGGGAAGGGGCCCTGCAGCCCGTAACCCTGTGGCCATTGGGTGCCCTTGGTCCCTGCTAAGAGAGATCCAGGGCTGGGGGCAGGCCATGCCCCTGGGAGGGAGGGCCCACTAGTTACTTGAGGGGTAGGATTTTGGAGGAGGATGAAGATGCAGGGCTTTGAGTTGGGGCAAGGGCTGCAGCTTGGGTCGCTTGAGATGCACTTAGGTTGTAGCAGGAAGGACTGCAGTAAGACACTGGGAAGAACTTCCAGCAGCAGCTTATGAAAGAAAAGGAAGGCAAGATCTGATAATCACCTTGTGTGGCTGCAGGGGCTGGAGGAAGTCATTGCCATCCTGGCCCACCTGGGGCTTCTCTGGACCAGTCTCCCAGTGAGGCCCCTGGGCTGAGAGGGCCTTGACCATGCCCTCCCCCCCACCCCGGAATCTTTCACACCCCCGGTCCTGGGCGTGCTGACCGGCACACCCTCCTGTGGCCTCATTCTATTCCAGTGAAGCTGGACCCTCCCTCTGACCTGCAGAGTAACGTCAGCTCTGACCACTGCGTCCTGACCTGGAGCGTCAGTCCTGCCCTGGAGCCGCTGACCTCGCTCCTCAGCTACGAGCTGGCCTTCAAGAGGCAGGAGGAGGCCTGGGAGGTAATGCTGGGCTGCCTCCCTGCGGCCTCTCTCTCCTGGGAGCAGCGGCCCAGGGCCCCTCCTCACCCCATGTGCAGAGATGTCGACTTGGAGTTATGAGGAGGGAAGGTGACCAGAGCCAACTGTAGGTGTGTGCGAGTGTGCCTGTGCGCATGTGTGTTTGTGTGTGTGTGCACAGGTGTGTCTGTATGCGAGCGTGCCTGTGCCTGTGTGTGTGTACACGTGAAAACGTGTGTTTATATGTGTGAGTGTTCACAGGGTGTGCCTGTGTGTGTGAGTGCAGCAAGTGTGGTGAGCGTGTGCACTTGTGTGAGTGTGTACGCAGGCAGATGAGTGTAAGCATGTGCATGCGTGCATATGTAAGTATGCCATGTGCATATGGTTGTGTGAGTGTGCCTGTGTGTGTGTGTGTGTGTGTGTGTGTGTGTGTGTACGGTCTCGAGGGCTGACGGACCCAGTCTCCCCCTCAGCACAGGCTGATTGTCTTGTTCCCCACAGCGGGCCCGGCACAGGGATCGCATAGTGGGGGTGACCAGGCTCCTCCTGGAGGGTGTCGAGCTGGAGCCTGGGGCCGCCTGCGAGGCCCGGCTGCGTGTGCAGATGGCCGCGGAGGAGGATGCGTTGGAGGAGGAGCGCTACAAGGGCCAGTGGAGCGAGTGGAGCCAGCCCGTGCGCTTCCCTGCCCCCCCGAGACGAGGTGGGCGCAGGCGGCTGCTGCCTTCCTGGCCCCTGGGTGGGCTCCCCTCCCCTGCTCGTCCCTCCCGTCCTTTTGCCCTCCTGGAACGCCCTCCCTGGGGCGGTCGTGCCCCGTTGACCACCCTCCCCTGGAGCTCTGGGATGTGTAAGGAGGAAGCAGACGCTCTCAGGACCGTAATGCGCGGCTGTTACTTGCTGTGCGTGAGCCCAGAGCCGCATGTCAGGCCTGGGGCTTGTGTCTCCTCAGGGAGGGCTGGGCCGGCCCTGTGCACGGTGGTGCCGATGGCCTCGCAGCTGGGAGGGTGAGGCTCAGGGTGCGTGGTTTCCCCACGGTGCTGCGGCAGGCACGACGCAGACCGCCAAGGCCTGTCGTCAACTGTCCTCCTTGGCGCAGGGCACACCTGGGGTGCCTTTGCCGCGTGTCTGGAGGAGCGTGCTGGCACTGAGACTGCTCACAGCTCGCGCCCTTCCTGCTCACAGGCCCCCCGACCCCACGTTTGGGGCAGCCCGACAGTACCCTTGTCGCTGTGTCCATCTTTCTCCTGCTCACCAGCCTCACCTACCTCCTGTTCAAGCTGTCACCCAGGTCAGTGCTGAGGGGGGCATGTGAGTGTGTGCATGCGTGTCGTGTGTTATTACATATGTGTGTGAGAATTTGTGTGTGCGTGTCAATGTATGTGTGTGTGAGTGTGTGCACATGTGGGGGTGTGGTGGGGGATCGAGGGCCAAACCAGCAACCCCTCCCCTTCTACCATCTGGTCCTGGATGGGATGGGGTTTTCAAGCCTCTGCCCTGGATTAGTGGGGAGTCCCCAAGTTGCCAGGTTTGAGGAAAGGCGGTGTGGCCCCAAAGAGCCGTGGGGGACCCAAAGTCACTGGAACCAAGTCGCCTGAGGTCCTTGTCTCCTGCCTCTGGAGGTGCTTGATGGTTTGCTCATGAGTTAACACAATCTATGAAAATACAGACCTGGGCACCTGGTGTGTGCAGGACCTTGTTCTTGGCCTTGGTGGATGCCACAGAGAGCAAGACAGACACAATGGCCCTCCTGAAATAAGCCATCACACGTGTCATGTTACGAGAGGGGCTACAGGGACCTCACCAAAGAGGGGATCCCACCGGAGACTGGCCAGGTGCAGACAGGTAGCAGAGAGGATGAGAGGAGATCAAAAAAGGGCAAGGGGGGCGTGGGGGGGGTGCTGGGTGGGGCCCGATGGGCGGGGCCAAGAAGGCCAGGTAGGGTGCCGGGCTTGTCCTTGAGCAAAGGAAGGCGCTTGGAGCGTGATCAACAGTGTGTGACGTGATCCGGTTTCTATTTTGAGAATGCGTTGTTGGGGACAAGGGGACAGGAGGACCTGCTGGGAGGCCAGTGGTGGTGTCCAGAGAGACGCAGTTTGGCTTGAGCTGGTGAGAGCAGCAGAGATGGTGCAAAGTGAGGGAACTGCTAGGTCTTAGGAAGAGAGACTGAAAGGATGTGTGGAGGATGAGATAGGATCAGTGCCCCCTGACGTCACCCCTGGGGGTGGGATCTGGAGGGGCCAGGCGCCAAGGGAGGTTGGGGAGTGGATTGGGACCTATTGGGTTCGAGCCCTGTGTGGCCTCCTTGTGGGAGGCCTCGTGGGTCCTGAGCAGGTGGATTTGGTGCTCAAGGAAGTCAGGTGGGGCTGGGAGCTGCCACCTGTCTGCTAATGGCACCGGTGGGGGTCCTGGAGGTGCTGGCTCCCTCTGTGGGCCAAGGACATGGCTACTCACCCACGCCCCTGAACCTACCGTCACGGGTCACCCTGTAAAGGACACGTGTCTTGGTATAAATCAGCTCTGTGGGGTCCTTAGCCAGGGAGGCCACAGGGTGCCAAGTGTCGAGTCTTGCCCTCACCGCAGGTGTGGACCCAGTGGGAGGAGGCAGAGAGGGAGCACTGAGTTCCCTGCAGTGACCTGGGCTCGGGCAGAGCCCCTGCCTGGCGTCTGACTGTCGTCGTCCCCCCCACTGGCCTCAGGGTGAAGAGAACCTTCCATCAGAACGTGCCATCTCCAGTGACGTTCTTCCAGCCTCTCTACAGCGTGCACAACGGGAACTTCCAGGTGCGTGGCCACTGCAGGGGCTGCCCAGGCGCCGCTGGGGATGGGGGCTTTGGGTGGGGGTCAGGGGCGGGCTCGGGGTCGGTCAGCGCTTTGAGCTTTTTTGGTACACATAGTTAGCTTAAATTTGCACACTGTGTCTCAAATGGGTAAAAAAATGTATCTTTATTCTCTGATACATTCCTTTGGAATCACGGCTGATTCCTTTTGGTTCTCGTGTCTCTAATTCCATTGTTTGTGGAAAACAGTGTAAACTTGCTCATGGCGCTGTCTCCGCCCCTTCTGGGTTGCAGTGGCCCCTTTGAGGTACACAGTCAGTTCAGGGTGCAGACTATGGGGCCGTCTGCACCTGCCGGGTGTCTCGTCCCTTCTTCTTCTCTTAAGGTGTCTTTCTGGTGGCTGTAGGGATGGTCTCTGGTGCTTGTCCTGTCCGTGGGGCCCTCCCTGGTCCCTGGGCTACTGCCCTGGTGGCCATCGTGGAGTGTCCATGCTCTCCGGGTTCCCCTTGGTAGCACACAGGCACCATGGCTGATGACTAGACTCTGTATTGTCCCCTTTGTGGTACCCTGGTGGCCTCCCACAGGCCACCAGCAAGCCGAGAACAACGCGGAGGGTCACATCAGACCCTCCGTGGACCCCTCCCTCCCTGCTGGCCTGGTAGGTGATGCTCCCCTGGCAGGAGGAGGGGGAGAGGGAGGCCTCTGGTTTCTGTCCACGCAGGCCCCTCACTCTGGGCCAAGGATGGGAGGCAGTGCTTCCCGGGCCCGCTGACCTGCTCTTCCTGGGATCTCCCCTCCTGGTGCTGCGCAGTTTCCTGGCCTGGCCCTTTTCTCTCTCAACAGGGAGCCTAGTTTTCAAGACTGTTGTGCAAAAACATAATTTGAAGCTTAAAGCTGAGCACTTTGTCCTTGGTGGAGTCCCCTCTTTCCCCCAGGCAGTGGATGTCACCTGCTGAGATCCATGAGGTGCTGAGGACAAAGGCTGAGTGGGGCAAATGTTTCGATTGGCCCCTGGACCATGTCGCCTGGGTTGCAGGCACCCAGCCCCATCTCTGTAGAGCCTCGGCACCTGTGGTGTGGAGCCAGGGGTCAGCTCTCCAGGGAGCAGGGCAGTGACGGAGGATGTGGCGTGTGTGGTGCCTTTGGGGGAGACTCCGGGTCCCAGCCGGGGAACAGCTTCCCTGTGGGGGGCGGGCCTCTGTGGAGGGGTCCAGCTCTGCCTGCCTCAGCCCAGAGGCGCCAGTCCCCACAGTGTCTCCTGTGGTGTGTGTGCGCGTAAGGGGATGAGGTGGGCTGCCCAGTCTCTGTAGCTGTGGAAGGTGCTGGAGCAGCATCACGGGTTTTCTCTGTCCTTGGCACCTGTTGCCATCTGTACCCTGGTTCAGGCCACTCTGAGCACTAGGCCTTGACCTGGGGCAGTGGTGAGGGGCCCAAAGGGACTCTCGGTGCCATGCTGAGGCTGGGCTGGCACATGGAGGGAAGACAGAATGTTCTGGGCATGGGTGTGGCTTGGCCTCTGGATGTGGATGTCAGGAGAGCTTCCTGGAGGAGGAGGGGAGGCTGCCTCCAGGGTGAGTCCTGAACATGCTGCCTGAGCCTTTCCCTCCTCCCTGTGCTCCGTTCCAGAGCTGGACAGGGGCCCACAGGGCTGGTCTGCCATGGAGCGAGGACTACATGGGTACCCAACGAGCAGCCTCGGAGTCCAGCATCCGGGAGGCCATTGCGTTGCTCACCTATGACCTGGCGGACCCCCTGCAGTCAGTGGGCCTGGAGGAGGAGGGCACCGGCTCCGGCCTCCCGGCAGGCGTGCTGCCAACAGGGTGTATGGAGTGGGGAGGGCAGCTGCCCGCCTACCTGCCGCAGGAAGACTGGGTCCCCGCGAGCCCTGCCAGGCCAGCTCCCCCCCAGGCAGAGGGCAGCAGCAGCGACTACTGCGCCCTGGGCTGCGATGGGGGTTGCCACCCCTCGACCTTCCTAGGAAACGTGCAGAGCTCTGCGCCCATCCTGGCCTTGGCCTGTGGCCATTCCTGTGACCAGCAGAGCCTGGATGCTCAGCACGGAGGTACCTGTGTGGGAGCTGCTCACAGTCAGAGGCAAGACCTTGGGGAGCAGGCCGCAGGAGGACCTCAGGGCGTTTTGTTCCCTCCCAACCTTGGCAGACAGCGGGCTCAGTCCTGAAAGTTCTAGAGCCCTGGCATGGCCAACTGCATCATGTCCATCTTGGGGAAAATGGACCAAAGTCTCTGGAGATGACCCTTGACTGGGGCCGGACCTCCTGCAGAGGGCCACCTATGCAGTGGTCAGACGTCCTGTCTAGATGAAGGCAGGAGGCCCCTCTTCCCTCCCTCCACTCGGCGCCTGTGAGGAGGGGCCTCTGCCCTCTGCATCCTGCCAACCAGGTCCCCCAACCCCGACTTCCCGCCCTGCTTTCTAGCTTGATCCTAGGCCCCTCTGAGAAAAGGGGTGTTGGCCCCACAGCCTGTTCTGCCCTCACCCCCTTAAAGAGCCCGCCTGGGCCCCGTGGACATGGGTGAGAGTCTGTGACAGGCGGACTGTCCTCCTCCTGTGCCTTCCTGAGCCCCCTCTGCTACTGAGATCAGAAGGCATATGGTGGCTGCTCCAAACTGCTGATGGCAGGGAGAGGGGCCCAGAGGAGGGTGAGGGGTGGGGTCTGGCTCTTCCTGGGCTTTCTGGGCTCCAGGAAAGCAGGGGTGAGGCTCAGTGACCAGCTCCAGGGAGGCCATCCCCCTGCCCCTCTTATCCTCATCCTCTATGGGCCCCAGGAGGCTGAGCGCTGTGGCCAGAGCTCCTGGCCACTCAGGGCCAGAAGTGACCACCCCACACTGGTCTGTGAGGGCCCTGCCTCTGCCCGCCCCGCGGTCTGGAGAGATGGTGGTGGACAGAGCAGCAGGTGTCTGTGAGTCTCCTCAGGCTGCCGGGACAAAGGACGACAAACTAGGTGCTCAGAACAACAGAAGTTTGTTGTCACGCAGCTCTGGAGGCTGGACGTCTGGGATCCGGGTGTCAGCAGGGCCGTGAAGCTGCCAGGGGAGGTTCTGTTTCGGGGTTCCCTCCAGCTTCTGGCAGTTCCTGGCCTGGCACAGCAGCGCTCCAGTCTTCCCCAGGCATTTTCCCTGTGCGTGTGTCTGGGTCCAAATGCCCCTTTTTATACCATCACACCTACAGCGGATTAGGCTGACCTGAGCGACTTCACCTTGGCTTGACCATCTGCAAAGACCCTCTTTCCATAGAAGGTCACATTCATAGGTGCTTGGGGGTTAGGACTTCAAAGTGTGAATTTTGAGGGACACAGTTCAACCCGTAACAGTGTCCCTGCCTCTGCCAGCGATCACCTCCATGCTGGCCCAAGGTCTCTGCCAGGGCACCCCTGTCAATCTTACCAGGGCCTCAGGCAGAAGACCCCGTTCTGCCCGGCTGCTGGACTTGGGGCTGGTGCTGGAATCATCGACCCGGTGAGGGCTGGGACGAGACCTTTCTGGGGTTGGAGGTGCTGAAGTTTTGAAGGTCGGGTAGAATGGAGGCCTGTCCCTCTCTGGGGGCTAACCTCTCCGTGGGCCTCCACTGTCTTCTGTGTCCTGGGCAGAAAAAAGCACTTGCAGCCCCAGGCCTCAGGCAAAGGCCCCTTCTGGCTCAGACAGGCATCCGCTTCCCCTCTGTGTGCTTGGAACATCTGCGGTTTTGTGGGGAGCCTTGGCAGAGCCGGATTCTGGTCAGCAGGGGTAGGCAGGACCCAGAATGTATCTTTAGTATTCAGAGAGCGGGAGGTATGGACGGAAGTCAGGTGCAGGCATCCTCCGCGCTAACCAAGAGTAAAAATACTAGCTTGCGCCTATTTCCTGGAGCCAACCCTTGGGGAACCCCAGCTGGTATATTTATAACAGCGTCGTGTGGTTCGTGTGGCTTCACGTGGGACCTGGGCCACCTGCATCATTAGACAAGCACCCCCCACTGCAGGGCCGCTCTGCCATGTGGCCGGGGACAGCATTCACACACTTTCTCTGGTGGCCCCTGGAGGCCTGCCTCTGGGTGTGGAGCCTCTCAGAGGCTGTGTGGTGGGAGGTGGGTCAGGCCTGCCCCTCAGCACCTGGGACCACAGCACCTCACCAAGCTGCCGTGAGGTGACCCGAGCAGGGTGCCCGCCCACCGTGTGCTCAGAAGACGCGGACTCCCCCTCCCGGAGACGAGGCGCCCTTGGATCCCGTGTGCCGAGAGCCGGCTCACAGCAGAGCGCGGTTCCAAAGGCCTTGTGAGCGCTGAGGGGGGGGGTCATTGAGGGGGCATCTGTGAGGGAGTCGGAGAGAAGGGGGCCTGGACCGGAGTCGTGGGACTGCAGGCGGGTTGGGGCACGTGTCTAATGTGGCTGGCCAGGCCCCGGGCCACGCTGGGCTGTGGAGGGCCTTGATGGCCAGGCGACAGGGCAGTAAGGGAAGAGGACTTGTTCTGGGGAGGGAATGCTGAGGAATGGTTTCTTTTCCTTTGTTTTTCAATGAGGTAAGCTTCATAAGATATAAAATTAACTGTGTTAAAGTGTACAGTTCAGTGACGTTTACTACATGCATAATATTGTGCAACCATCACCTCTATCTACTTCTAAAATATTTCATCACTCCAAAAGGACATCCCTCTCCTGTGAAGCATTTACTCCCCACCCCACTCGCCCTCTGACCTCTGGCAACCGCTAATCTACTATCTGTCTCTATGGATTTACCTGTTCTGGTCATGCTGAGCATCTTTTCATGTGCTATTTGTGTATATTCTTTGGAAAAAAGTCCATTCAAGTCTTTTCCCGTTTTTTAATTGGGTTGTTTGTTCTTTTGTTGTTGAGTTGTAAGAGTTTTTTTAATATATTCTGGATACTAAACCCTTATCAGATATACGATTTGCAAGTATTTTCTCCTATTGTGTAGGTTATCTTTTTACTTTTTTGATAGTGTCAAAGGTTTTAAGTTTTGAAGTCAAATTTATTTATTTTTTCTTTTATTACCTGTGCTTTTTGTGTCATACGCGAGAAATCATTGCCAAATCCAATGCCAATAAACACGTGAACAGATGGTCACCATCACTAGCCATTAGGGAAATGAAAATTAAAAAAAAAATCAAAACCACATCACACCCTTTAGAATGGCTATTATCAAAAAAAAAAGGGGGCGGGCCCCGTGGCTTAGCTGTTGAGTGCGCGCGCTCCGCTGCTGGCGGCCCAGGTTCGGATCCCGGGTGCGCACCGACGCACCGCTTCTCCGGCCATGCTGACGCCGCGTCCCACATACAGCAACTAGAAGGATGTGCAGCTACGACATACAACTATCTACTGGGGCTTTGGGGGAAAAATAAATAAATAAAATTATTAAAAAAAAAAAAAAAGAAACTAACGTTGGCAAGGATGTGGAGAAATTTGAACGCTCATGCTCCCATTGCTGATGGGAGTGAAAAATGATAGTGCTGATGGTTGCACAACTATGTGAATGTATTTAATGACACTGAACTGTACACGTAGAAGCGGTTAAAATGCTAAATTTTATATTACGTATATTTTACCACATACACACAAAATCTTCCTCAGAACTGGTCCTGACATAGTTACACATGTGATGGAAGAAGGCCCTTTTCTCCTGGAGTGAGAAGCAGCCTTCTTGTTCATGCTGGTACTCCAGACCCCAGACTTTTTCACACACACCCAGCGTGATCTCACCAACCAGAGGGAGTCCACTTCCGCCTGGCCCATTCGTACCTCCTTCCACCACCCTATTCCCTTATTCGACTCACCTCCTCCAACCACTCTCAGTCACTGTTCTGTTTACCAGCTCTGTAATTTTTCCTTTCCAGAATGTCATACAAATGGGATCGTACAGTGCGTAGGCCATTCAGATCAGCTTCTTTCACTTAGTAAGATGCATGTAAGATTTCATCTGTGTCTGTGCACGGCGTGGTGGATCATTCCTCTCTATTGCTGAAGAGTATTCCATTGCATGAATGTACCTCACTTGGTTATTCATTCACTACTGAAGGATGTCATGATTCTTTAAAGTACTTGGCCCTTATGAAGAGAGATGCTGTACATAATTGCATGCTGGTTTTTGCTTGGACATAAGTTTTCAAAGAACTTATCCAAATGCCTGGGAGTGCGACTGATGGCTTATGTGGTGAGACCATGTTTAGCTTTGGAAAAAACTGCCAAATTCCTTTAGAATTATGCATTCCACCAGCAATGAATGAAAATTCTTGTTGCTATTGCTATCTTTTTCCCTTCAGATTTTATTCATTTTAATAGACATGCAGTGCTATCTCATTGTTTTAATTTGCTTTTCATGATGAGTGATGTTGAGCATTATTTTGTATGTTTATTTGTCATCTGTGTATCTGCCTTGGTGAGGTGTATGTTCAGATCTTTACCCATTCTTAATTGGGTCATTCATCTTCTTCTTGAGTTTTGGAGTTTCTTTTTATATTTTGCATAGAAGTTCTTTTTCAGATGTGTTTTCCAAATATTTTCTCCCAGGCTGCGGCTTGTATTTTGTTCTCTTAACAGAGTCTTTCACAGAGTAGACATTTTAAATTTTTAATAAAGTGAACATCAGCAATTTTTTCTTTAATGGACTGGCTTTTGCTGTTTTATTTAAAAACTCATCCTGAGTGACGTCAGCCTCATGGTGGAGTGAGCTTTCCCTTAGACTCTCCACCCCAAGATACAACAAAAAGGACATTCAAATACCAACAGAGGACATTGACACAAAACAAAAGATGTCTGAGGGACCCACACAGCCTTACATCTGAAGGTGGAGGTGCTGGTACCCCCGGACGAAGTGGGAGGAGGTAAGGAGAACTCTTCTCCTTCCCCAACAACAGCGACCCCAAGACCAGGACCACGCAGCTCTTTGCGGGGGAAGGGCAGCCCTCCATGGGAAAACTGTCACTCTCCAAGTTCTCTCACAGCCTGTGGGAAAGTCACATACAGTGGGGACTGAACTGTTGTGGGGGTGCCTTCATCAAGCTAGCACGCCAGGAGAGCAGATAGTGAGGGAAGCATGAGAAGCCCCTGGGATCAGGCAGGTGAAAGAAAGAGCCCCTCCGCCCACCTGGAGCACCAGCACAGCCGGTCAGCCAGGGTGCCCACGTACTGTGGCGGGCTCAGAATACACAGCTCTTGACCTTCACCTAGTGGTGGCAGGTGGAAGCTGTGATCAGATATCAGTATGAGGAAAAATAAGCCCATGCCCTCAAGCAGTATGCAAAAATATATTAAATCTCCAGACCAGAAGGAAAATGACAGGCACCCATAAATCAATCCTGAAGGCACAGAAATTTATAACCTAAGCAACAGAGAATTCAAAATAGCTATCATAAGTAAGCTCAAGGAATTATAAGAAAACACAGACAATTCAATGAAATCAGGAACTTCTTCACAAAAGAGATTGAAACTATAAAGAAAAACCAATCAGAAATGTTGGAGATGAAAAACACAATGGAGGAGATAAAAA